TGGTGAACAGGAATTGTTTAAGTGTAGTTGGTCAGGTAAGCCACATTGGCAAGAGTAAGTGTATGATTTGCAGATACATTTTAGAGTTCTGTTAGAAGTTTGTTGATCTTGAGGTCGGTTGTAGAGTAACATAATCTTGTTTTGCTTTTTCTAATTTGAGAAATTGATACAGTATAGTTTCTATATCTGTTTATAGGTAAGTTTATTAATTTGAAGTAGGGTTTTAACAATAATTTGAGATGCAAATTTGTAGAGAATGTTAAACTTTTAATAGTTTGAACTAGAGATATAGGGATAAAGCCTTTAAGTATGATATCTAAAGGAAAATCATTTGATTTTACTACTATATTTCTGAAAGCTGCATAGTTTAGAATTGTGTCAATAAGTTCATTGATTTGGTTACTAGATAAGTCTAATGCTGAGTTGCAGAAAATTACAGAGATAAAATTAGAAATGATATTGGTAAGAGTAGTAGAGTTAGAACAAACTCTCCAATGTGAAACAAAGTCTAAGCTATTACAAGAAAAACAATTAGAATTGTTAAAGGTAGTGGGATATCTAGTGTAATAGAAGAAGTAGGTAAGCAATTCATTAAGTAAAGTTTTGATTTTAAATGATTTAAGTTGATTTAGTTTGAAGTTAGTAAAGTTGTAGATAGGTTTTTGATTGTGATTAAAGAATAACCAAATAGCATTCCAGTCTATCAGTTGTATATAATCTTAAGATTTTTATATAAGCAAGAAAATGGATTTAGTGAAATTGAAGATGATACTAAGGTTTTGAGAAAATTGTACAAACATATAAGAATGTTTTATATAAAAAATCTTAAGCAAGCTGAAATTGGTCAATATTTTGAAACTATAATTAGATAGTTTCATTTTTTTATTTTTATTTTTTTATCGATTTTGATTTTTTTAATTTCGAATTTTTTATTTATCGATTTTGATTTATTAATTTTGATTTATCAATATTTATTTTTTTTTGAGTTTAATTTTTCATTTATTTTTTCAAATTCCATTTATATACATACTTTTTATCTATATTATTAGTAAATAAATCATTATTTTACTATATAAATCAATTTTTAATAAAATTATCTGTTTGCAACTATTGCTCCTAATGCGGAAGTAATGTTCTTGCTGATTCTTGTTTGGAAAAATTAAGTAAATATTGGCAAAGCAAAAAAACCATACTGAGTATTATCGAAATCATTGATATTGCTGGTTTAGTGAAAGGGGCTGCACAAGGTTCTGGATTAAATAATGAGTTTTTATCTCATATTCAGGAGGTCGATTTAATTTGTCAGGTCCTTCAGGATCCCGAACAATCTATAGACAGGTAAGATTTTAATTTGCTTATTTCAAACTACTTTTTCTGCAGATCTTTTCATTTTTAGTAATTAGTTTGCTTATTTCAGGCTTTTTTTCTGCAGATCCTTCTATTTTTAGTAATTTTTGCAAATTGTTAGCTGTTTGTAGATTGTTCAGGATTTGTTGTTTTTCAGATCAAAATATAGTTTATATGAAAAATCAGTGGATCCAATTTGAGATTAGGAAATAATTCAATTAGAGTTAATTAAAGCAGATTTATAGCAAATAGAAGAAAATTAACCAAGTTAGAAATTTGAGACAAAAAACCTAATGAGAAAAAAATATTTTACAATCAATTTGGGAAAAATAAAAAAAGCATATAACACTATATTACTATACTAGCTAAAAAGTAAAATTCAATTGCTATAATATATTATAAAGTCTGACTTGTATACCTATAGTGTATACCTCTGCAAGTTTTAAAAGTTAGGCGGTGATTTATACCCAGTATCCAAAGTGAAGCCTCAAATGAAAGCATTAAGAAGGGAAGATTAAAGCCTCTTTTAATCATACTTTCAAAAAGTTATCTTATCCAAATATGATATCTCTATATATGGTGTATCTCCCCTAGACATGTACTCTAAGTACAAATATAAGTTAAAAATATACTTTAGATCACAAGTCGACTTTACAGTATTAATGCAAATTATTCTTCATTTTATACGAAATAACCACTAATATGTAACTGGTTTTTAAATATCAATTAAACTATATCTATAATTAATAGAGATATTTCTAAACTTATTGCAAAGAATATATAAAAAATGGAAAGGAGCTATTCTATATGAGATCTTATTAACGATAAAGCTTCCTAGAGCTTATTTGTTTGTTTTCAATTTAACAAATAAGACTGGTTCAATTGTTTTCTAAAAATGCAAAATTGTTAGTAGATTTTTATCATGATTTATATATATTAAATCACATGTCTTATGAATTTAATTCTATTGATTACTTTTTATAAACCGAATTTTTATTAGTATTCGGTTTAGAAAGAGCACTTATATATTCTGAACTTGACCTATACTGAACAAATATTTTTGGAATACACTGTTCAGAATAGAGAGAGGCAACTATATAATTAGAACTATATTATTTATCATCTGATTTTTTTTTATTAGAAGCTTATCTCTCTTCTTCCTCTTAATATATATTTTGTTTAGATTTTTATAAATTTTTTATTCTCTTTTTTTATCTAAAAAATTATCTAATTTTTGTTACTTCTCTTAGTAATTTGCTAAATAATAAAGAGTATTATCCCTTAAATTGTAATAGAACGCAGGCAAATTTGCCTGCGTTTTTGCACTTTTTTAGCTCTGATTTATTTTTATAAAAAATTAAAATAATTAAATAAAACTTT